TTTGTCTATCGTCTCCCCGGAGTGCAGTTCTCTGTCGAACCAGCCGCAAAGGTTGGGGTGGGGTTGGGGGATACAGGGGATAGAGGGAGCCGGCGGGGGGGAGGATAGAGTTTCTTGGGCAAGCTGGGACCATGGTGGGGTTGGGGTTAAGGGTGGGGCGCTCAGAAGGAGGGGAGGGAGGAGTGACAGGGTTGCATGGACTGACTGTGATGGTTCATGGCGGGGTGCTTGTATTCCTTTCTGTTGTGGGGGCAGAGTTGCCTGAAGGTAGTGGTGGGAGACGGCCTCTGTGGTTATGGCTTGAGAGTATTCCCCCAGTACGGGTCTGTAAAAACAGCCTGTGGGCTTCATGGCTATCCAGTTGCTCCACCAGTTCTGCCATCCTCCTGCACCTCTCCCCATTTCCTCCAGGGTCAAACCATTTGGTTATTGCTTGTTTTCTTGTCTTTTGATCGTGTATGTTCTCCAGGTCAGTGTTTAAACTCCCCACGGATCCATGGATATTCACCCGGATTGTCTGCTATCTCCGCTTTAGCCTGCATGAGGCCAAAGCAGTGTTCTTTTCTATCTACCAAGCGCGGCTTCCTCCAGATCATCATCAGGATCGTGCGTGGTTGTTTTTAACAAATTATGCTGCAGGACTGTCCATTGTGCTGGGTATTCCGCCTTCTTGCCCAACAGGATGAGTTTGAGTTCCTTCCACAGTGCATCCCACCACCTCCAGACCTGGAGGGCCATAGGACAGGCCGGAGGCAGTGCTCTAGTGTAGCAGGATGGCGCTGTGTAGAGAGACCGCAGCAGGAGTAGATTGGGCACAGCACTTCCTTTCGTTTCAGGCTTGAGCGCGATGGGATCCAGTTTGGGGTTGGGAGGCAGCGATGAATTATCTGCCATTGGATCGCTTTGTGTGATGTCGTCATAATTTGCGAGTAGGACCATGGCGGGTCTTGGAGGTCTTCTGCCTTCAGCAGTGAGTCGTGCTTTTTTGAATAACCTGATCGGATGGACACAACTTGCAGACCGCTCACACAATTCAGGATCAGGGATGTCAATTGTTTCAATTTCTAGATTTGCCCTAATCATGGAAGCCAGTGTTTCCATAACAAGCACGAAGAGCAGCTGTGCTATGGGTTCCCCTTGTCTGACTGATCATTGCTGCTCAAAAAGGGGAGAAACGTGGCCATTCACCATGATGTTGACGGCCACGGATCTGTGCATAGTAGTACTTGAAATAAATGGCTGCAACAAAATGTCTTCTTGTCTCACATTGCACTGGTGCACGATAACACTCGACTTGGTTTATAACAAAGCAAAACAACTGCCAGCATGAAGACAAACAATACTGAGAGGGGATGCAACAGCAGCTCAGCCCAGACGCATATCCGTTCATGTGTGATTTTGCTGTTAGTGCAAGAGAGAGAGAGAGAGAGAGAGAGAGGGAGGGAGGGAGGGAGAGGGAGAGAGAGATAGATAGATAGATAGATAGATAGATAGAGAGAGAGAGAGAGAGAGAGAGAGAGAGAGAGAGAGAGAGAGAGAGAGAGAGAGTAAGAAGTTACTAAGAACTCGACAATGCAACAATTGCACAGAGCGTGAAAATCACACATAAATGCAAATGGACTTGAGTTGCATCTGTTACTCAGGTTCTGGTCTTTGCAGACTCCGGAACAATCTTGGTTACTCATCAAATCTGTGGTTTTATTCATCAATCCTTCTGAGCTTAGCTACTCATAAGAGTTGCAGTCTTCCTCATTGGCCCCTATGAGGTTGTTTGAGGAGCAGTTGGCTGAATAGGTCAGTGGTAGACTCTTGTTTTTCAAAAAATTCTTCAAATCTTCAGTGTTCTCAACCGAAGCCGGGTAATGGCCCCGGTATTTCAATGTGTTTATAATTTCATATCAAATGCTGGGCCCAGTTCCCAGCACGTGCTGCTTCCCACGAACAGATTGGAGCATTTGTCCGCCCCCCCCCCAAAAAAAAAAACAAAAAAAAACAAGGGAGGACATCATGCATCAAATTCATCAATCAAGATCCAAACAGACAGAGAGAAGACAAAAAGAAGTGCATCCCCAAGCGCAATCGAGCTCGTAAGATACTCAACGTGAACACAAAACAGGGTAGAAGTAGGCGCCAAGCACCATAGATATGAAGCATGGTCAGGGGAGTACCCGACACGTGTTTTGACCAGCTCGCCAGTGCCGGTCATCCCAATCTTCGGCAAGTTACAGGGCATCACCCCGGCTCCGGCCAGCGTCATTGCATTGAACAGCCACAGATCCTGAAGTCTAATTCCAGTGCAGCTTCGTACAAACCACCAGCAGTCCCTCGAAGTCCTGAGAGATTCTTCAAACTACCAGGAATAACAAGGGTGCTTGTTTTGAAAATTCCAGAAAGAATCAGAAAAAGTCCCAACCAAATACAAGCAAAGGATATAGAAATTCCCCCCTTTCCTCCTCATCCCCCTGCCCCACCGCTGCCTCCACCGAAAATGACCGCCCCTGATCACGAACACTCCTCAATGGCCCCAAGTTGGGACAGACCCATTTTCACCCCCTACTCCCATAAAGGCATCCAGTTCCCACCCAAAGAATGCCTCTGCCCTTATCTGTCACCGCTGGGATATGATTCCGACCCATACATCTCCCCCAGCCCCAGAATAGAGCATTCCCCAAAATCTGCCCCATCTCTCTTCAGGGCAATCACCTCCCTCCTTGTGAAGCCCTTGCAGAGTAGAGCCTCCCCCTCAGAACCAACCCACCACCCCACCAGAAGTAATTTGTTTATGCTTGAGAGGAGAATCAGAATTCCGGCCTCCATCTCCCCCTGTCCCTTCGCTGCCTCCACCGAAAAGGACTGCCCTGATCACAAGCTCTCCTTATCGGCCCCAACTTGGGACATACCTGCTGCCTCCCCCTGCTTCCACAAAGGCATCCAGTTCCACCCAAAGTACGCCTCAGCCAACCCCTCACCCCTATCTGCCTCTGCTGGAATATGATGCCAGCCCATACATCTGAAACGGTTTTCACCTTTTAGCAGTAGCAGATGCAGTACCCAGGGTTCGATCCCTAGACCTCGCCCTACCCATGTACAGTATCTGTGTAGACCCCGAGAGTTGAACCTGTGACCTGCGTATTCGTAGACTGTCGGTAGGTCTGTCGTAGGTCTGTAGGTAGAAGGGGTTCGATCTGTCGACCTATAGAGTAGAAGTCTTAGTGAGTTCTAGAAGCCTAGCTGTAGGCCTTCTAGAAGGTAGGCAAGTGGGCAAGTGGTCAAGTGGCAAGGCAAGTGGTGGGCTAAACTGCAGTGCAATCGCAGTACGACAACGGTAGGATAGCAGTGAGTCCGCAGTCAGTCAGCGTTAAGGTCCAGTCAGTCCCAGTCCGGTCCAGCAAGTACCACGGGGACTGTGAGCACCATGGGCCGATGGCAAAGGGCAGACCAACGAGTTTTTGAAGTATAAATCAAGAGGCAGCGCCCAGCCTTGCATTCATTCCTGCGTGAGCCATGCGGAAGCGCTGTCACAGCGACTTGTGCAAGGAGGTCTGCAGTGAGCCCAGAGGACGCAGTGGGCGAGAGAGAAGGAGCTTAGTATAGCGATAGGGTAGAGGCAGCCATAGCTGCCATAGCTGTAGTTAGTGTGAAGTGTGTGTGTGTATGTGTGAGTGTTCAGAGTGATGCGTGTGGGATATCCAGGGTGATCCACTGTGTGTGGACAGTGAGTTGTTTGGGCGTTGAGTCGCCATAGCCAGTTGAGAGCGAACTCGTATCTGGATGCTATATCTCTGAGATTTGAGTGGGCGCATGTCGCCAGTTTGCTGCGTTGCTGTTTACATGTATGAAAAGTGTGAATGAGAACGAGTCTGATTGCATTCGTATCGGAGCTGGTACCCGCTATTCCATGCGCGCCGTCGTGTGCAGGGCCTGATGCGCCATAGCAGAGGTGGCCGCCGAGGGGCATAGTCCGCCATAGCGTACTTGAGGTTGGAGAAGCCGCCGCGCACCTGCAAGAAGATCACGACGAAGAAGGAGACCGAGAGAGAGAGAGAGAGAGTAAGGCTGAGCGATACAAGATTGGGTTACTACGTACCTGCTGCGCTGAAGATACCGCTACACGAGAGAGAGAGAGAGAGAGAGAGAGAGAGAGAGAGAGAGAGAGAGAGAGAGAGAGAGATGAGCGATACAAGTTTGGTTGTCACTTACCTGTGAAGCAAGCCGTGCAGTCCCACGAAGGAGGAAGACAGAGGCTATAGCCGCGGAGCATCATCACGGAGTAACGAAGGAGGGAGAAAGCCGGACAGAGGGGGAGAGACCGAGAAGGGAGAGGAGGCCATAGCCGAGAGGTGAAGAGCAGGCCGATCAAAAAAAAAAAAAAAAAAAAAAAAAAAAGAAAGGAAAAAGACAGCCGAGGTGAAAGGAGGTGAGGAAGGTGAAAAGAAGAAGGGGGTTGGCGAGGAAGAGGAGCCGGCAGCCATAGCTGACCGGAGGGTTGACCGAGAGGGTTGACCAGAGGAGTTGACCGGCGTTTACCGAAGTTGACCGGGGGTTGACCGAGGGCTGACACAACAGGCAGTCTTAAGTGTTGAGGGCCTTGTTGACCCAAACCCCTACCGGACCTAGTAAGGCTAAAGGCCGTGTCTGACGACTCGACTGTCCCGGAGGTCAAACCCTCCCAAGGACCGGTACTGACCGGCGGGCTGCTCGGTGTGGCACGGTAGGCCTGAAAGGCTGAGTTGTGGGCTGATGCGACAGGCCAGACCAAGCTGATCACGTCGTCTTGTCGGGGGATCTCCTTAAATGCCTCCTGATCGGCAAAGGGTCTAGTAGTGACAGCCATAGTTAGGTCCAGGCTAGAGACCATAGTTGGCAGGATCCCTGTCCGGATTCTGTGAGTCTTAGATTGGGTCTATAGGTTTGTCAGTCAGGGGTCAGAGTCTACGTGGTGAGGTTTGGAACCACTAATCCGGTTGTACACTTATCACCATGGTTGAGACCCGTAGTGGGTTAGACACTAGCCCCTATAGTAAGGAGCAGCAAAAAAAGATGGCCGCCTTAGTGAGAGAAAACAGAGAGAGGAAAGAACGTGAGAAGCAGGCGAAGCTAAAGGCTATCGCAGACGAGCAGGCGGCAAAGATGAAAGAATTGGAGGAGGAGATGGAGAAAAAGAAGAAGGCTGCTGAAGAAGAAGGGCGGCAGAAGAAGAGAAAGAAAGAATGCGTATTGAGAGTAGAGAGGGGAGTAGTGGCACGAAGAGGGACACAGACGCTGAGATGGAGAAGAAGATAAGCGAGTGGTTTGCTAATTTATCGTTGGGAGAAGAGGAGGAGGCAGAGTCCTATGTGACTGAGGATGAGAGGGCTGCGCTAGCCAGCGAGCTAGCAACAATGACAGATCCTATGGAAAGGCGAGAAAGAGAGGAGGAGCAGAAGTTGGCATGGAAGCTGAGGATGAAGAGGGAGAAGAAGAGGAGGAGAGAGGAAGTGAACAAAATGACCGCAGAGGTAGCAAAGGTGCAGGCGTGCAAGCAGGAGGTGTTGGCCCGGCCGAATGACAAGGCCAAGTGGGATAAGGTACTGGGGTACCTAGAGGTGTTGAGCAAAGCCTGGATGGAGGAGCTCCAGGCCAGCTGGAGCCAAGACGTAGCATTGAGTGCCATGCGGTCAGGGTTTAGGGAGTTTCGCGCGAGATCGTCACCCACATTGGGGGCGAAGTAAAGCAATTAAGGGACAACGTAGGGAAGTTCTATGAAGGCGCCATTGAAGGTGTCAAAGCCATAGCCGCTGTAGAGGGCGAGGCCAGACCTCGCAAGGACCCAGTCAAGCTAAAGTTCCTAGATGCGTACGGGGGAAAAAAGGAGGGAAAAACTTTGACAACTGGGAAGCCAGTGTCAACAGTTATGCCATAGCCGCTGTAGAGGGCGAGGCCAGACCTCGCAAGGACCCAGTCAAGCTTAAGTTCCCAGATGCGTACGGGGGAAAGAAGGAGGAAAACTTTGACAACTGGGAAGCCAATGTCAACAGTTATATATATCTACAACACATTCTGAGTGAGGAACAAGTCCTCGTGGCCTTCCAGGCCCTTAAGGATGAGGCGGCTAGTTTTACCAGGTCCCTTGCGCGCGCAGCCGGTTGTGAAAACAACCTGGTTGCTTATCCAAGAGTCACCCCCCTTCCTCAATTCTTCAAGCTCCTGAAGGAGCGATTCGCGGACCCAACGAGGGGCGTTCGCGCCTCTAACAAGCTACAAACAATCCACTCACGGCAGTGGAGGAGTGCAAGAGCACTCAAGGGTACCATGGACGACTTGGTAGCCGTCCCGGACCATGGGGTCACTAAGACCCAGTTGGTCCAATTATTTTATCGTGCCATGCTAGAGGCCCTACGTGGGCATTTCTTTGACAAGTCTCAACAGGCCGGCATCACATATGATGCATTGAGTAGGGAAGTCGTCCTGTATGAGTCAAAGTCCATGCCAGTTACTACTTTCTGGCACAAGGACTTCGGTAAGGGAAAGCAGTGGAAAGGACGTACCATCTCGGGCCAGGTGAGGGCCAAGGATCACATGATCCTTACCTTAGAGGAAGGTGGTACTGATGAGGTCCCATATAGTCAGATTGAGTGGGGCCTTGAGGAAGAGGACAATAGTGTGGGACAGGGGAGGTCTTATGCTGCTGTCGCGGTTGGAAGGAGGCCGCAAGGTAGAGGAGGAGGCCAGGGCCAAAGGGGCCAGGCCATGGGAGGCCGAGGACCGGGCGCACAGGGGGTTGGTGGCCAAGGAAACCGCCAAGTGGGAGGTAGGGGTCAAGGTCCCCCGCCAAATCGCCAAGGTTCGAATCGGTCCCCGCAGCGAAGAGGTGGAAGGGCACCTCAAGGAGGATGGCACCCAGGCTTGCCTCAGAGCAGGCCTTGGGAGGACCTGGGCTTGGACCAACGTTTATGGCAAGAACGCGTGGACCAGGGTTAGTGCGTATTCTGTGGTGACCTGGCCCACATTATCAAATATTGTCCTAAGTATAGACAGGCCCGATGGGCTGCTCAGCAGTCAAAAGGCAGCCACCAGTAGGAGTCGCAACTGCCCCTACTTCAAGGCCATGTGAGGAAGTGCGCGCGCGCAAACAGGACACTCCCAACCCACATGAGCCTATGGCAGAGGTTGCAGGCCCGTGCCTAGATAGTTGTCCGGAGACTGTTTGTGTTAGCGTCTCTTTAGGCACGTCCCTCACAGGTGTGGCAGAAGAGTTGAAGGAGAGGATGCCAGCCTGGGCCAAGACGAAGAAAGAGAGTAAAGGACAACTGATTTTGGTAGATGTAGAGGTTTTCAGGAGTAGAGTAGGGGCCCTTATAGACTCAGGGGCCACCCGCAGTTATATCAGCCGTAGGGCGCTGAAAAAGTTAAGGCTAGGATTAAAAGTCCAAAAGTTAGCAGACCCCATAGTCAATATCCTTGCAGACAACTGCACAATGCGTGTTGAGGACTATGTAGAGGGAGTCCAGGCGTACTTTCACCTAGAGAAGGATGGGAAGGTGGAAAAAGTTCTCCATTCCCTGACTCTCCTCGTACAAGATGACCTTATGTTCGACATAGTATTGGGAATGGATTGGGGAGAGGCAGCAGGGGCCACACTCCATTTGAGAGAGCATGAGTGTAGGCTCCCTAGTCCGTCAGGCGAGGTTAAGATTGCCCGCCTCTTCCATGTGTCAGGTGTAGACAACACCTTGGCACATTGCTGTCTCAGTGCTCCCGCGTTCACGCGATTAGTGAAGAAGGAGAAATTAGAGGAACATGTCTTCGTAGTTTATGTGAGGTCTGTCACTGAGGCTAAGGAAGAGGTGACTTCCACAAATCCAACCATTGCCAAGCTGCTGGAGGAGTTTAAAGACTTGACCGAGTCGCCGACAGGAGTAGTGCCGCGACCCATCTAGCACATGATAGAGATAGAGTCTGGCAGTAGAACTCCTAAGGGCGCAGTCTACAGAATGTCCTCTAGAGAGCTAGAGGAGCTGCGCAAGCAGTTAGATGAGCTCCTAGAGAAAAGTTGGATCAAACCCAGTTCGTCTCCTTTTGGAGCACCAGTCTTGTTCGTCCCCAAGAAGGAAGGAGAGCTTCATATGTGCATAGACTATAGGGGTTTGAATGCTATCACAGTGAAGAATGTTGAACCGCTGCCCAGGATAGACGATGTACAAGACTGCGTTCCAGACTCGTTATGGGCAGTATGAGTTTATAGTGATGCCCTTTGGACTAACCAACGCGCTAGCTACTTTTCAGCGTTGTATAAATGACCTATTTAGACCATGGTTAGACAAGTTCGTAGTAGTATACTTAGATGATATCTTAGTTTTTAGTAAGACCCTCCAGGGGGACCAAGGTCATCTGAGGCAAGTCTTGGAGAAGCTACCAGAGGCTAACTTCAAGATCAACGCAAAGAAGTGCGAGTGGGCCAAGACACAAGTCATGTACTTGGGCCACGTATTGGACGGAGATGGCATTAGGCCAGAGGACAGTAAGATAGCGGCGATTAGAGATTGGCCGACGCCCCACACATTGACAGAGTTGCGGTCGTTCCTAGGCTTAGCTAACTACTATAGGAAGTTTGTGAGGAACTTCTCCACTATCGCCGCTTCCCTGCGCAGGTTGCTTAAGAAAGAGGCAATCTGGCAATGGGACAAAGACTGTACGTCTGCGCTAAAGAGACTGAAGCGCGCGTTAATAGAGTATCCTGTCCTCAAAGTAGCAGATCCGTCCTTGCCATTTGTCGTCACCACGGACGCAAGTCAGTATGGAATAGGCGCCGTGTTACAGCAAGATGACGACAATGGCTATAGACCCGTAGAGTTCATGTCCGCGAGGATGCCCTCAGAGAAGGTAGCCACCTCGACGTACGAGAGAGAACTCTACGCTCTCAGGCAGGCTTTAGACCACTGGAAGCATTACCTGCTTGGGAGGCACTTCAAAGTGTATTCTGACCACGGAACACTTAGATGGTTAAAAACTCAGGTCAAGATGGCACCTAAGTTGACCAGGTGGGCCGCAGAGATAGACCAATTCGACTTTGAGCTCAAGCCAGTGAAGGGCAAGTATAACGTAGTTGCAAGCGCTCTGAGTAGGAGATCAGACTACTTTGGAGCTATAGTACACTATCTGGATATAAGGAGAGACCTGTAGGAGAAAGTGAAACAAGCGTATGCGCAGGACCCTATCTATAGCGACCTCCTAAAGAGAGTTAGAGAGGCCCCAGAGACTGAGCCAGATTACCGCACTACATAAGGATTACTGTTTGAGAAAACTAATGTGTTTGACCGCCTTTGCGTTCCCAATAACGAAGAGATTCGTAGTCTAATCCTAGGGGAATGCCACGATACTGAGGGACATTTCGGTTGGCAAAAGCCTCTAGCCAATCTGATGTGCGCGTACACTTGGCCAGGGATGAAGAATGACTGCATAGAGTATGTCCGCAGTTGCAAAGTATGCCAGCGTAATAAGACTACTATGCGCGCACCCCTTGGTCTTCTCAGACCCTTGCCTATTCCAGATCAGCCGGGAGACTCAGTGTCCATAGACTTCATGGACACCCAAGTCAAGAGCAGAAATGGTAAAAGCCAAGTCATGGTCATAGTTGACCGATTTAGTAAGTACACAGTTTTTGTTCCTTTGCCCGCAGAGGCACGCACAGATTTAGTTATACAGAAATTCTTTGACTTTTGGGTTAGTGAAAATGGAATCCCATTGTCAATAGTTAGTGATAGAGATAGTCGTTTCTCCAGCCAGAACTGGCAAGAACTCATGAGAGTCTACGGATCTACGTTGTTGATGTCGTCTGGCCGCCATCCAAAGACAAACGGTCAGACTGAACAGATGAATAAGATCCTACAACAAGTTTTGCGCATGTGCATTAGACCAGATCAAATCAACTGGGACGAGATGTTGCCTAAGGTAGCTAGTGCATACAACAACAGCGTGCACCTATCCACCTGCCGCACTCCCAATGAGCTGCACAAGTCCTTTAGACCACGCAGACCGTTCGAAGGACTGAACCGGGATCAGATTCACAGGCTACCGCCCGGTACTAGGGAGTTTGTGATACAACATGAGAAAGAATTAGCAACTGTTGTTGAAAACCTCAGGAAGGCCCAGCACAGAATGATAGAGCAGGCTAATAAGCACCGCCGCCCGTCGCAGTTTCAGGTAGGCGACTTAGTCTGGGTAAAGGCCAAAGAGTTGGCACCTGAGGAGAACATCTCGCAGAAGTTACTGCCTGCGTATAGAGGACCGTGGCCGGTTCTAGAAGTCAGGGGCGGAGAGGATGGACCGTCCTACAGTATTGAGATTCCAGCACACCTCCACACCTATCCGGTGTTCCATGCTTCAAAGTTGTTGTCGTGTGTCACAAGTCAACAGTTCCCTTCAAGAAGATCCATGATCCCTCCGGATATGGATGGAAGWTATGACATTGACGGCATTGTAGACGAAGATGTCTTTAGAACAGGAGGTAGAGGTCGTCCCTAGAAGCAGTATAAGGTTCGGTTTGTCTATCAGGAACCGGAAGATGACCGCTGGTTCACAAGAACAGAACTTCTAGAAACAACTTTCGGCATAGTTAGAGCCTATGAGCGTGAAAGGAAGGGTAAAGGTCCTGCCTTGGACTGAAATATTCTCGGAGGACCTCCAATTTAGGACGGCGGGAGTGAAACGGTTTTCACCTTTTAGCAGTAGCAGATGCAGTACCCAGGGTTCGATCCCTAGACCTCGCGCTACCCATGTACAATATCTGTGTAGACCCTGAGAGTTTAACCTGTGACCTGCGTATTCGTAGACTGT